ACAGTAGAAGCAGTGCTGTAACTCAATTTAGAAAACACGTTTAAAAGGCTGCAAGTCACGTTAGACTATTATCACCTTCGGGCCAGATTTTCTCCAAACCAACTACATTCATCTGGAAATATCCAGTGCTTACAATCTCCTCTCCAATTTGTAGACTGGGATATTTTTGATATTCTCCAGGCTTGTATATGTGCTGCTCATAGTATCACCAAAGATAAGCCCTGCAAGCTTAATATCAGAGCCGTAAAACTGGCTGTGCTCTTTCTACGATGACAAAAAGTCTGCCGTGAAAAAGGTCCTTTACAATCTCATTTCCTCCCATTGTAACTTGTATATTCTGGCTAGTGTTCCCCATCAATGTCATTTACACTCAACAAATAGCTAGCAGATAGCTTCTGGTCGAAAAAAGCTTTGACGCAATCAGCTAAATTGTTTGTTTCAAGTTGATTCACACAACTCAAAAGCTTCCACAACCGGTCACAAATTTTGATACGGAGACATTGTGGTTCAACCAGTAGCCACATATAAACAAGAGGTATTGACTGAGCATCATTAGCTCTAATAGCACACAAAAAAGGTAGGCTAACTCTGGCTAATGTTAAAGTGCACAAAATTGAAACTTCTGGAACTACTGGCTTGCGTATTTGTTAATGTTTTGTGGAAGCTAACTGCCACCTAAGCAAAGCGAACCCGTCCGACGTTTGTCTCTGCAACTGGCCACGACGTAAACATCCATTGTCGTATCTAACTCTAAAAAGCCAGCCCGGCCAAAGGTAATGAAAGGTTTCCGGGATTACTACCTGTAAAGCAAGAAAACTATCTCAAACCGTTTTCCCTTACGCTCTGTGCAACAGAGAAAAAACAACAGGTTTTACCCTAAAGTGTCTTTGAGTAGCCTACCATGTAAAGCACTATATGAATTAAAATGTATTATTATGGTGATTTTATTTGAAAAAAAAACCCGATTTACAAAAAAATCTTTTTAACCAATAGGTTTTGTGAAACTAATAATTATTGCACAATCGAACCACATGTCATCGTGTAAAACCACAATCCTTTTGTTGAATGTGTCTGGAAGGTGGTGGCGTTGGCGGTCTTCCTGTTTCTTGGAGTCAACTGCCCCATTATTTGAAACCTCTCCATAAGTTAAGGCTTTGTAGGACGTGGCCCCACTGCTCTAGGCTACGCGCTGGTGCTATACACCACCTGCTGAAGCGCACACAATATAAGCTGTGGCCCGGAGCCAGTGGCAAGCTGCAACCTGTGGGAATGGATATGTAGTTTGTAACGGAATATGGCGCTCAACGCACGCAAAATGTGCAATACAACTACACTCAAATATCCCAATGCCTTGGAACACATCGTACTTGACGAGGCTGTGTAAGTGCTCAATGTTCAAGTATAACACCTAACTACCTCTTTAAGATGTATTTGTACACTTGTGCTACACTGGATTCGTAAGCACAAGGAGGGAGCGGTTATAGCCGACTTATTCATTCTGCCATTTTGGATCTTTGTTTCCCTTCAGAGTTAGAAGCTTCCAGTCGTTGAGCTTAACAGGTAAGCGCTTGGGGCGAGGCCAGGAACGGCATTACCAGTTTGTCCTCCATCTTAACGTGCCAGCGTGGAAAAAACTTCTTGCTGCTGAAAGCGAAGATTAAGTCACAACCTTTGGTCAAGTGACGATGTATGTGCACAAGGACCGTGCCGATCGGTAGCAGAGCAAACAACAACTGACGGGGAGTGTAGTCAGCCACTCGAAGCCTTTCAGCCCGTGTGATTGTCTTGCGTGTTGTACGATGAGTCAGCATGCAAAGTTTCTCAATCAGTAAATCCAGCTCCACACGCAGAAGACACGAGAAGTTTGTGTCACATTAGAGACAAACACTCTTACAATGTTTGTCGATAGAGAGGGTGGTGGGGCTGGATGGTGGTGGTGGTGGTGGTGGGGGGGGGGGGTCACTCAACAACTCCCTTCTTGCCGCTAAACAACCAGAAAATCTGTGAACGGGGCTGAGCGTGTGCCGCGGGGAGGACCAACGCAATTCTCACGGCGTTCAAATTCAATTTGCCATTGTGGCTGACTTGTTTGTTGTGATGAAATTCCGCTCTGGAATAAACACAGATGGGGAGATCTCCATCTACTCTAACTAAACGACTTCTTTCGCAGGAAATGAAATTGCGAATGGGCCGCATATTTCACATGCCACGCCGATGCAATCAAGATAAAATTGGACGGCCCCCGGGGTTGGTGACTGTTGATATTTAAAAACTCATGAAATGAGCATTTGGAAATCAATCTGTGTGACGAATAACGTGAGAATATCTGCAATTCAACACCTTTTACCGATTCCAAACAGTAATCACCAAAACCATGTCTCCTCACTGGAACCTCAGATGGCTGGGACTTGTGTATGCTCTGCGTGTGTGTGTGTGCGTGTGCGTGTACGCGAGAGGGGAGGCACATGTGGGGGACAGGAAGAGCACTGGTGCACAAAAAACAAACAAACAAGGGCCTAGCATCAGTAATTACGTCCTCATTAGTCCTTGTTATGTGCAGGAACGCAGCGGAGCGGCAGACAGCGCTGCCGTTACCACCAAAGCCTGCAGCGGGGGCCGACCCTCGCATTTACCCATAATCCCTCTGTGTTTCCACCTCAACTGGCACTTACAGGGTGATGAGTGTTCTGGATCATTTTCTGTCGGGCTGGGAGGAGGAGGTGCAGGGGGGGGGGGCTCTCGGCCAAAGGCTATGGGGCCGCTATAGACAGTTTGGCTCTCGGGCGATGAGTAAATGTCCGTTAGCAAAGACCAGCGTGCTCTCCTGCACGTGCTCTCTGGTGGCGTCAGGGAATCGGGACAGGTGGCCGGACCAAACACGGGGCCGAATAAAAAATGGGGGTTGTGCAAAAGATAAAGCAAACACTGGAAGCGAGCAATGCAAGAAGAGGAAAACAGTCAGACGTCCAAACATAAAACGAAAGATATCGGACAAGCAAACGAGAGCACGGAACCAGATGGAGGAAAAAGGCAAAAAAAAAAAAAAAAAAAGTCAACAGGGAGGGGAAGGGACAAGGGCTGAGCGGTTCTTTTATTTCCCGCTCCCCCTCGGGCGCGCCGAAGCCATTCACTAGCTCTGTAACTGCATACACCTGACCCGACACAGCAACACGCACACACTTACCTGGACCTACTGCACCCATCTGCTTTATCTCGACTCAAACTCAAGAGAACAGAAGGAATCGCTCTTGAAACGCAACGTTCATAATGTATTAGGTACACGTTAAAATGTATTCTCCAGCATGCTATAATAACGTTAATGTGATATATTAAGTACAAAACCCTGGTTAAGCGCACTGACGTGATGCATGGAAGGTAGAAAAAACACACAGAGAGATATTTGCCGCCAGGAGCAGCCGACGTGACAAATCCAAAAGGACGCGTGGAATTTGACAACGCATTGAAAGCGAGCGCTCTCGCTAGCTTTAAAGCAACAGGACCCTCCCTCCCCAGAGCGCAGAATGAGACCGGGGGGGGGATTCACTCCAATCGATCCTCGCCCATTTTTTCCAGAGGAAGGTCTTGGCACCTGGTGCATTTGAACAACAGAGCCTCAGTACCTGGGAAACCAGACAACCGCCGTAAAGAGCTCTCCGTGGCTCTGGCTGGGTCAACAATGGCCCCACACACACACACACACACACACACACACACAGTCTAAATCAAATACAATATGGAACCGCTTTCATCCTGCGTGGCAACGACACGATAATCACGCAGCGCTCAGGTTGCTTCTAATATTCGGTGTAAACACAAGTTACAATCATTTGTGAGATAAGTGATTCGGGTTGGAAGATTACTTTCCGGCTGAATTTCCCGGCCGATTCAAAAGGTTTTATTTTCAGCGGCAGTACAGAGTTTTGCTCTCACAGGTGTGTGATGTGGCGGTTGTGTCTGTCTGAGTTATGACTGGGGAGTGGAAACAGATCTAGCCAGCAAGTCAGTGTCTGAGGCCTCCTCCATTACCCGCTGGAGCTCCATGCCAGACACACCCTTCTTCTTACACACACACACACACACACACACACACACACACACACACACACACACACACACACACACACACACACACACACACACACACACACACACACACAGAGACAACGGGTGGGAAGAGCTTCACTTGAACGTGTGTAAAATCTGTTCAGATCTAAACTTTATCATTGAGCGTTCCTCCAACCCGTCTATTTGTGGAGATGTTGAGGTGAACGTAAGAGATCAGAAAGCAGCAAACGTCGCCCCGCAGCATTTGGGGGAAGGAGCTCAACAAGTTGCCTCATGCCTGTTCAACTAGTTTTAGGTGTTGAAAATGTGATTGGGCTGCTCCCCTACGGCACATCACACAGAGCGCCAACCAGGAACACAGGAAATATGCGCACATCCGTCACACCCACTGCAGCAGTCAAATCTGAATGCAAATACGACACACACACACACACACACACACACACACACACACACACACACACACACACACACACACACATCAGGGCTCATGAAACTAGTAATGCAAATACACCCAATGTAAAAACTAGTCAGAATGCATAATCCTAAAGCGGTACGAGAGGTCATTTAGCATTTCATAAAGATGGAGAGATGCATTAAAACAAGAATGGTCACAGATCAGAAGTCGTCTGCGGGTCAAACCAAATGATTTCCCATAATGTGACTTACATTAGATGACAACTTTACTCCTGTCTTTCCTCAGTTGGCAACAGATATCAAGCACAAGCTGACAACCCACCCCCACCCCCCAACGACATCCCTATGACCCCATGATTTTTCAGGGTGTTGTTGTGGACTTTTTGCCGTGAGCTGCTGAACAGTGTAAACAACCACAATCCAAACGGAGCGACCCTTTAATGGGACTTTTACGCATTTATTTTGGGGCTGTAAGGAGCCACCGGAGGACTCTCTGTCTTCCCACCATGCCCTCTCACCTGGGAGATGATGACTTTAAAGTGGTTCCTCTTCAGCAGGTGGCCGTGGTTCGCCTCCAGCTTCTTCACGTGGACCGCCTGCTTGTCCAGGCGCTCCCGCACGTCCTTCAGGTTGACGTTGACTTTGCGGGAGCGCTCCAGCAGCTTGCTCACGCTGTTGGAGGTGCTGATGTGGGTCTTGGACAGGCGGGTCACGTCCCCCTGCACGACCCGCACGGCGCCCTCCAGGTCGGCCTGCCGCTGCTCCATCCGCTGCTGGTTGTCCTGCACCGCCTCCAGCATGTTGACCAGCTTGTCCAGCAGCGCCACCACGGTGATGGCGCTCACCTGGCCGCGGTCCACGGGGCTCCCCGGCGCCAGCGTCGCGGTCGGGCTGGTCGGGCTTTTCAAACCGAACCGGGACAGGGTGCCGCTCGGGTTCGGAGAGGACGGGACGGAGGACGGGCTGAAGCTCGGGGTGAGGAGCCCCTCGTCCTCGGGCTGCGGGACGGTGTGCGTGCTGCCGAGCTCGGCGCGGGACGCGTCCTCTTCCATGGTTCACAGGTGGTCGGATGTCCCGCGTTGATGCAGGGTTGTGTGTGTGTGTGAAGGGGCGGGAGGAGGGGCTGGGGGGGTCGATTCACCTGAACAGGTGCGGTTTAGCAGTAGCGTTACGCTCTCGTGACGGCGCTGCCACTCGGTCCAGCTGGGAAGTGAAGGACGCGCCGTGAACTTTCAAAAGCACCTCCCCCGCGAGCCGGAGGGAGGGGCGCGGTTGCCATGGAGACGGCGCAGGCCTATCCCTGTTGACAGACTAAAGTGGGGGTTGTGTGCGTGTGTGTGTGTGTGTCCTTCCGTGTGCTGCTGGCTTGCTTTGTGTTTGCTTGTGACAGCCCATCATTTCTACACTGTGCGTTGTTGGCACCGTTTGCATGAATATCAGGATACTTTTGTTTGGCGTTAGGGTTGATGTGTGTTTTTCGGATGGTGCTCTGCCAAAATGCTCAGGAATGCGTTACAACCGAGTGGTGTGGATCTTCTCTGCGTGTGACAAGACAACACAGTGACGACAAAACTATAATCCCAATCAAAAGGCCCTCGCTTCTGTTTGCAGAATGCTGTGGAAAGACCCCTGGTCGCTGTGCACTGTTTCACTGTGCCTCTGCTGACATGTGAGACTATGTGTGCGTGCCCCCCCCTCCCTCTCCCCTCTGGTTTTTTTGTGTGATGACAAGGGGCACACCGACATGGAAATGTGGAAGTCCCTGTTTCAACAATGAGGTCATCTGGTCCCCTGACTGACTCTCTCTCTCAAACGGGCTTTTTGTCAGCATCCCTGTAGGTATTTCACCTGCAATAACACTCTGTGCATCAAACGTGTTTTAGAAAGCCAGTGAATGGGAGGTGGGAGAGGCCTGTGGCATGTAAAGTAATTCCTTTGCTTACTAAGATTCCAGTCCACACCTGACTTTTATTGAATTTGTCCTGATAGAGTTAAAGGCTTGGTCAGCCATTCATCTAAGATCAATGAAGAAAACATTCTCGCCATAAAACTAAGATTACTTTTTCACACACGGAAAAGACACACCTCAGAGAAGAGAGATATGTTGGCAGAGTCCACAGCTCTGTTCAGATCCGGAAAAGCATCTGTTTTCACACTGTGTTATTTATTTCCGTGCCCACTGAAGTGACTGTAAAACGTTTTGCAGCAACACACATAACAAAGGAAACACAGGCAAAAAGGATGAAATGAATTATGGTCCAGTTCTATTTAGTGTGTCACAGTCATTTCAGTGGACCAGCATGCACACACGGCGCCGTGCCCCACCTACACGGGACAGGGTGATAATAGTTAACTACCCCCTCAGTGACACGTCACAATGGATTCTGCTAAAGGGTTATTCAGCTTAGTCATTCTGCCCCTTACCTTTATCGGCACTTTTGCTTTGAGGAAAATAACAATATTGATATTATGTTGTACCGCAAATTTGAATGTACAGTCCTGCCACAGTTAGCTTAGCATCTCTTAGCACAAAGACTAAAAACAGTGGCAAACACATTGTATTTCGCGCTGCCCTGTTTCCAGTCTTCGTGCTAAGCTAAGCTAGCCGCGCCGTGCTTTGCATTTTGTACCAACTCTTAGAAAAAAAGAATGGTGGGTCTGAAAAAAGAAATGAGTACCTTTTATTGACATGGCAGCAATACAGTGCAGTTGGCCCTCTTGTTGTTTTTGTTACACCTCAATCTGTTCACCAGCTGCCATGCTTTCAGAAGTCCTCTCGACACGTTGCCCCCTGGCAACCTCCACGCCCAACACCTCTCCTTGAGGTCACCCGCTCGACATGCTTTGACGCTGCCCTGAGGAGACTGGTGGTGTGACACGCACTCGTCCACTTCCTCTCACTCAAAGCCAAAGTGTCTCCAACCCATCTCTCTGTCGCTGCTTCTCCTGGGAGGCGCACGCTTCTGTCAAAATAAAAAGTATCACCTCCCATTCCGAGCGCTTGAACCCTTGACTTTTCCCACTTTCCCCCCCTCGGTCAGGGCGGACGGAATGACGCTCCCATCCTGTCATTCTTCCAGCTGTCCCCCTGCTTTCCATTCCTTTCCTCTACACCCCCCATGCCTCCTTTTCTCCATCACTGTCCCGCCTCTCTCATATCTTCTGCTTTCCTGAAGTCATCCTGTGTTCCCGCCACGCCATGTAATGAGGTCTATCCCTTTCCCTTCTTTCCAACAACACTTGCTGTTTATTCAAGCTTCCTTTTTCTTCGCAGTAATCCCTCCTACAGTTACATGTATTAGAAAGCACTTCACACGCAGCACAAGCTGTCGGAGATGCAAAGTAGATGTCTGTGCCCTCTGGAGGCCTAGAAATGCTACTTCATGAGACCTTTGTTTAACAGAGCAGTATCCAATCATATATGTATATATATATATATATATATGGTGAATTGACCAAAAAAATATTTTAGATTGGCATGAATTAACATCAACATCAACGAGTGAACCGTCCATTTGAGCTGTGTAATGTTATCACAGTATCTCTGTTCTTATTTTTTCCAAAGAACATTTCCACAAATCAAATTTCCCTGTAAGGAAGTAAAGAATGAAGCAACCTCGGTGGGAATCGGCATATTCCATCACTTCGACAACAAACATGCCGCTGCAAGTCGCATCATCGGATGAATGAGCTTGGAAAGCTCCAGTGGGAGGTGTGGCATTGCTGTAACCGTCGTTGGCAAACTCCCACGATGGATTATATTCTGACCCTAGGCCCCCGACCCGCAGTGTATTTTATACAAGCGAAGAAGAGGATGGTTTAATCTGGGTGGGACCAACTTCTCAAGCACATGCTTAATCCCCTGGATCTCCTCAGTCACCTTTCACCTTTGCATCGTCCACAGTCCTGGTGATTGAAGGCTGCATTCGCTGACTTACGAGGACGGTGCCGTGGTCCCTCCCTGTCCTGCTCTGGTTTGCGTTAGCGCCTGCTTGGTGTGGATACAAGAATGCGACTGAAACGCTTTAGTAGCAAACTTTTTGGATGCTTTGATGATGGTTTTCCCACACGGACGGCTTTGGTTGCAAGGTAAACAGTCGCTGTGGAGAGCAGAGGCGGATATGCAATTTCAGAGCCCACGGGCTACATAGCAGACAATGATTTAGCTTTTTATTGGTTTAAAGTTAGTGTAAACTGGCTCCAAGGCAAAACATCCTGTCTCCGACTCGAGTCTTGCGTCTTAACTTGATGAAAAAACTGTAAACAATAAGTGGCCTATGGCATAGTGGAGTAGTTCAATGAGCACAGCAAGACTATAGTTTATATCTCCCCATTTTACAGCTGAGCCCAAAACAATGAACTACTTTGGATGTACAGCTTTGAGAAATTATTAATTGCCACAATAATCACATGCAATATGTAAAAGCATTTGTTTTTCCTTTGTTTTAGAAGAGGAACTTCTAACTCACCAGCTGGCTGCCTCGTACCTCACAGTCAGCTTTGTTCAAACCGGATCATGTGATATCTGCTAGACACAACAAAAACAGGTTCCCTGATCACCATTCAAATGTGACCCCCAATGCTTGTGATTAGCAACAACCGCTCCACACAGGTGTTCGCACCTATGATGATGCGATGGATGCCCGGCGGTGTTTGATTTTCTATAACCAGCTCAGACTGGATGTCTGCTCGCACAGCGTGAAGGAAGCACCAATGGTAGCCTTTTGTCGCTAAATCAAAGGCCCCCACAGAGGAGAAAATGGCATGCTGGGACCAAAACAGATGGCGATGGATCTTTAAATGACCCCTTTTCACAGACCAGCGTGTGTTGAACACACGCTCACTTAAAGGTGGCCTCGTATGCTACTGTAGGAGTGTGTGTGTGTGTGTGTTTCTGGTGGTGTGTGATTTCTGTGATGCCATCAATTCTGAAGCTAATGGACCAATTTCCGAGGTGTTGAGCTTTATACGCACCGAATGTGATGAAGTCTGTGTGTGTGTGTGCTTGTTTGTTTGTATAAGTGTACATGTTTTCATGTTTCCGACGCCATCAATCTCCAAACCGATGGGCCAATCCTTCAATGCCAAAGGTGATGAGGGGCACTTTGTTGATTGTAAAATCAATGCCACGGTTCTCCTGGCCGATGGTTCCCACAGCGTAGATTTCTGGCTCCTGGCTTCCCGCAAGACAGCTTGATTTTGCTGTTATTTCATTCTTCCCCTGTATTTCACTCCACACCATTGGTAATTTCCCCAGACGAATCTATCAAGTGGATGATATTTTAGTATTCAATGGTATGTTATTCATATCATCCATCCGTTAGACTCTGAGGGTATGACATTGGGATGCTGTTATGGGGGGGGATTATTTCTGTGTGCACTGGCTGTTGAGTTTAGTGTATTTGTCTTTAAGGGTTTGTCTACCCACACATTAACCCAAGGCCATCAGACATGGATCGCATCAATGCAGTGCTTCACTTTTACTCCTCTTCATTCTACTCGTGCAATTGATGGGGATAAGCCATAGGTTTTAGGGTTGGTGGGACAGCTTGGAAGTCATGAGCCCAAAATGACACCGCAGCGGACAGTTCTATTAGATGCACGACTGCCTCGGCCTCCGTATAAGCCAAAGGTTTATTTAGATAATGCATATAATTATCTGCAATTATTCATACAAGGGTCTTAAGGAACACATTTTATAATTGGGAACATTGGTATTGAACTTGTTCATGCATATTGAAGTAATAGTGCCAAATAGTACAGATGGCCGCAATGAAAACCATGTATTTTCCTGTCCACATCTGACTGAAGCCTTTATTTCCTGGAAACCCGGTGGTTTTACTATTTTTGGTAGCTTGTAGCCCAGCGGACAGTTTTCAGCCTGTCTGTTCACAGGCTGTTCAACCTTGTACGCAGGAAAAAGTGAATTCCATGGGGAAGATATTGCCGTCCACTAATGACAGCATTCAGCGCATTCCTCGACCTCAGATGAGAGCAGATACTCAGGCGCTCAGAGGAACCTCCTTGGTGCTCCTCCCCGGCCTCGGGCCCACTGGATTTGAGCACAAACCGACAGCAGAAGACAGGGAAGTTAGAGGATTACATTGAATGGGTCCGCTGGCTGCTGCACAGACGTGTATTGGAGCATGGGTGTGCCGTGTGACCTGGAGGCTGCGGGGCCTGGGAGAAAGAACAAAGCAGCTCATGCTTTCAAATGCCTTGTTTGTGCTCTCGATGGAACAACTCACTCTCTATTTATTAAGGTTTCTTTTTTCTGTCTCCCACCACCGAAATATAGCCACTCCTTAAAAGGTTCTAGAAGCTGGATTCAGGGTTGATAAATTAAAGAACTGCGTTGTGCCCATGTGGATAGCTAATGTTCACCGGTTGATTGTGGAGCAAATGTATCAGATATTTCAATACACATTAGAGACATTTAGTCATTTGTACTCCTCTGCCTGTCACAGTTTGGGTTCACGTCCTGTTTTATTTTGTAGTTTTCTGCCTTGTCTCCCTGGGTAACTTCACTTCCTGCCTTGTCCTGTCTTCCCCTGTGATTGTCTGTCATGTTATGATTGTTTCCACCTGTGTCCAATCACCTGCACCTCCCTAGTGTAGTTAAGCCATGTGTGTCTCTTGTCGCGTCATTGTTGAATATACTGAATGTCCATGTCAGAGTGTTCTTGGTCCCTGTCTGCATTTTTGCCCCTTGGCCTTTTGCTTTTTTTGGAATTTTTGACCATTAAAGTCTATTTTTGAAACTCTGCGTTTGAGTCCTGCCTTCCCCGCGGTCGTGACACTTCCGAACGAAAGCTATACCGATTGTAGCATTTGCTTAGGAGCTGAGATGTTGGAATAAATTAGACGTTGTCCTGTGCACAAAAGCAGACTAGTTAACTGATACAGCTTCAGCTTTGTGAATGTTATGACACCTTCCTCAACACGGACGCACTTGGTCGGTTGACACAGAGTGTTCGCCGCTCTGACGCTGAGGACATTTTAAGGTCTGGCAGAACAACCATAGCTGACCCTGAGCGCGCTTCCCCCTGAGAACCTCATAAAGGAACTAGGATCTTTTTTCCCCAAATAATTAAGCCCTGTTGTATTTACTGTACTAATTCGACTTTGTCCAAGCACCAAATCTTGAGGAATGCTGGTGGTCTTTGAGGCATAAACTCGTTCTCAGGTGATTTTATAAAAACAAAGCCAAATAAAATGCAGTAGTGTACAAAGTACAATATCTAAGTATCAAGCAACATTGAATGTAAAAAGGCAAACTAAAGGACCACTATGCTACGAGCAGCACTGTTTAGTGACTGGATTGAGATTTCTCCACATTTAGTCCAAGGCAGTTGTTCTTAAACTCAGTTTTGAACATTCATCTCAAAGGCTGGATAAAAGTGTGCTTCAGTGTTTACACAAGTTCATCATATTGTTACGTTGACAGCAAACTGAGGTCGGGGCTCTCTAGAATAACACAGCCCATATTAGCACAAAATACCAGAGCTGCGTGACAACTTTGCCCATGAAGTAGTTTGTAGGTGAATCACTACATTAGTAGCTCTGTTGTGGTTTAATAGGATGAGCTGCTTCATGTAGCTAATGACATGCAATGATTCTTTTTCGACGTTGAAAAGGTTCGTTGTCGGCAGGATTCGAACCTGCGCGGGGAGACCCCAATGGATTTCTAGTCCATCGCCTTAACCACTCGGCCACGACAACCTGCGTGGTGTTAGGGTCATAGATCTTTAGTGTAGATAAAACAGGACCAGACTGCAGATTGATGCCGCGCAGTACCATCTAGCGGGGATTGACGGCTGAAACTTATTACAAACTGGTATTTAGTAATATATATATATATATATATATATATATATATATATATATATATATATATATATATATATATATATCTAACACTCACATGAGTGGGTTTTTACCTATTATTTAGACAGGGCATATCTGGCTGACTTGATGTATTATACATCAACGTTTAGCATATTTTTGGAATAAAAAAACACATACAAAGCTGTTGTATATATATATATAGTGGAGTATATGAAGTGTCCGAGAGATAGCATCTCCTTCTCCAGACGAGAACACGTGTGTTAATTTTAATACGCTCTCTAACACGACATATGTAGATGTCTTATAAAACCCCGAGAAATAGGTATATGCCTCCACTGCATCATTTAAAACGCAGTCAAAATAATTAAAAAGGATCTCTTAAAGGCGAGAGTGTGTTTAAGATCACGTAGATTGACTCAAATGTAAATTTCATATGCCTTTAACTGATTAGGACAGTCCTAGATGCCACCGGGCCTCTGGGTTTTGCCCTCCTCTTAGAAACATTGCCACGCCACAAGCAGAGAGCGACACAGCGGGTCACATTTCGGAATATAAATCATTTATTAACATTCACAGAAAATGGCCCCCACCAAGCCATTGTAGTAATAATTATTGGAAATAGACCCCAAGATACAGAAGCGGACGTCATTGTCACACCCGAAACAGAGAGCTCTATAATACCTTTGTCCCCTCTGTAAAAGGTCTCCTAAACCACAAGGGGCAAGGGCTCCACGGGTCCCCCCCCCCCCCCCCCTCGGACCGGACAACACACACCTCATTGAGAGCCTGTCTACCCCGCTTTGCTTTGACCCCCCCCTCATCTAGAAACGACAGACACCGGCTAGCCCGCCTCTACCAAAAGCTCACACAGCTAATACCCCCCCGCCCTGACACACACACACACACACATTCAGTACCCCCATTTCCCCCCTCCCTCCAAAAAGTTCACAGTTCTGTTTTTCAGAGGAAGAAGAAACCCGGAGGGGAAGTGACTCGGTGCAGAAGAGTCTCATCTCTGAGCCCTCCATGGGCACTCGTGAAGTTCATACCTGGGGGAGAGGGCGAGGAGGAGTGAGGGGTGGGGGGAGGCGGGGGGAGGCAGATCCTAATTTTTTTGGGTTAGGCCTACAAGGAGGGAGGGTGGTAGGCGGAGGGGGACATCTAACAGCCACAGCGCTCCGTAACGTGGCGCCCGGGCTCAGATGAGCCGCGTGGAGGCGCGCATGGTGTTCTCCGTGCTGAAGTGGACGTTGTTCTGCTTCTGCCGGTTGATCCGGTTGGTCCGCGGACACTTCCTGCGCGGGAGAGAAGAAGGCGGGTGAGCGTCGTGAGGAGATGCACGTGAAGGGGAAAATCTTTGTGATATCTTTGCACACATCAGTACGCTTCTCTGGGAATTATTTCTGAAAGGATGGAGGTTGTAAATACTGATTTTATTGTCGACAAAGCCAGTGAAATGACCACAGCCAGCATTAATTGACTGGAATCATAGCACGCTTTATTCTCTGTGCCAAACAGCTCCATTGTTGCTTGAAAAAGGCATTCAGGAGCCACAGCCGAGCTCTGGGAGACACGTTGCTTCACTACAACGGCCGCTGCTGTCTAGTTTGGCTGCAGTACTCACATGTGCCCACAGCTGAAACCGTCCCTCAAACTGTTCATGTGCTCTTGTTCACACAACGGCCTAGTTTTGATCTCAGAAGTGGGGACACACAATATGGATGTATCAATATGAAACCGTAAATAAACACAGAGTGAATGTAGAATAAATCCGTTCTCAGCCTCACGTCTTCCTCTCAGCCTGTGTACTCTCAAGAGCCCCCCAACAACAGGGCAGTGAGGCCTTTTCTTTGCCTGACAAAATAAATCTCCCTGAACTCTGTGCAGCACTCACTCACCAAGCAAACCGCTTTCAGCTCAAAGTAAAAATTACCTTTTTGAGAGGAAAAAAAACAGGCATTGTTGGATTTGGTCTTTCCCCCACATGAAAAAAACACAACTGTGTGGGAACAACATGACATCTTGCACTGAATCCCCCTCGAGGAGACCTTTTTCCAACGCGCGTCGTGATTTCACACCCAGGTGGCGTCGAGGTGACCTTTTATGGTCCCACCCGTTTGTTCCTGAAGTGAAGGCAAAGTAACAACAAACTACTACGGCTCGGAGGTGCACGCGCTCCCCGATGCCCACTGTCCGTTGGGCCGACGGCGCGGCAGACACACACTGCGTTGGAGCCTGCAGACCGGGTCGAGACCGAGGACGGGCGAGAGCGCTGATCTTAACAGCTCGGAGCGCTTCACCCACAAAAGGGGGGTTGTGATGGGGTTGTGATGGGGTTGGGATGCTGGGATGGGGTTGGGATGGGGTTGTGATGGGGTTGTGATGGGGTTGTGATGCTGGGATGGGGTTGTGATGGGGTTGTGATGCGGTTGGGATGGGGTTGTGATGGGGTTGTGATGGGGTTGTGATGCGGTTGGGATGGGGTTGTGATGGGGTTGTGATGGGGTTGTGATGCGGTTGGGATGGGGTTGGGATGCGGTTGGGATGGGGTGTGTGATGGGGTTGGGATGCGGTTGGGATAGGGTTGTGATGGGGTTGGGATGGGGTTGTGATGGGGTTGGGATGCGGTTGGGATAGGGTTGTGATGGGGTTGGGATGGGGTTGTGATGGGGTTGTGATGCGGTTGGGATAGGGTTGTGATGGGGTTGGGATGGGGTTGTGATGGGGTTGGGATGCGGTTGGGATGGGGTTGGATGGGTTTGTGTAACGGTTACACTTTTCCTTGTTCAGTGTTGTCACCGAGGTTGACAGGCGTTGCAATGTAGGTGAGATAGGGATTGCCCTTTAGCTGGGATCGGGTTGGGATGAGCATCTGATCCGGTTGGGATTGAGTTTGGGATGGGGTTGTGATGGGGTTGGGGTTGGGATGGGGTAGTGATGGGGTTGGGGTTGGGATGGGGTTGGGTATTTAAAGCTTTTCCTAAACCTTACTGGGTATGTCTGTGGCCTGAATGAGTGTTTCACAATCTTTTTTTGGTGTTTTAGTCGCCTAAATAGAAATCACTCTTTTCGTCACGTGGACCGTTTTATGAGCATACGTTGCATTACAGCCACCATTAGGGGCCGTGACCATTAGGGGCCGTGACCATTAGGGGCCGTGACCATTAGGGGCCGTGACCATTGGGGGGGCTCACATGATGGATGTTTCCAGCACCTTGTTGAGTCGGTTCCCACGAAGGATAAAGCACGCCGTACCTCACAAAGGGCATCTATTCATTCCCCTACACATTTTGTTCAAACTCAACTCCACTGAAACGAGTGAGAGCCGCGTGCTGCATTGTGAGATGTTTTTTTTAATAGTTGTCGCTCTGAATGATTGTGGCCCAGCAGCCAGACGCCCTAATCGATTGGAGTGTGTGCTCAATGAAATAATTCTCTTTCCTTCTCCTCCCCTTTGTCTCTCTCCCTACGCCCTTTACCGCCGCTCGCTCGTCCTCTTTGTCTACGGCCCTCTTGCTCAGAGGGGCAGTTTCGTCTCTGCCAAAACTCTTTTACAAATCTTTTATTAAATGTTGTAAATTGGGTGAGCTGGAGGCAGAGACGGCCCCATGCTATTTATATAAGTGTGTGCGAGGGAGCTTTTACTGTAAATACAAAAGTCAGATATCTCTGTGCTTGTGTGAACACTGAATGTTTTCTTCATCTGTGTGTGTGTGTGTGTGTGTGTGTGTGTGTGTGTGTGTGTGTGCCTCAGCAAGGTGACCTTTCAGCTGTTTCCTCCGGGCTCGGGACCCCCTGCAGGCCCTCCTGTGACTCCTAAGTACAGACCGCGTGAAAAACACTGCTGCCCAGCTCGTTAGTATGAATGTGACTGTGCGTGTGCGTGCGTGTGTGTGTGTGTTGGGAATTGACTCACCTTGTAATGCAGAGCACCACCACACAGATGATGACCACCTGCAGCGCTCCAATGATGGAGGCGATGAGGACGTAGTGCAGTTTGCCGGAGCCCGGCACCACGTAGAGCACGTTGTACTCTTTGACGTCACACTGGGGGCCTCTGAAACCCGAGTGACAGCTGGGAACGCACACGCACATGAAGTGAGATGGAAAGAGAGAGAAAGAGGGAGTCATTTCTTTTGCATCGGGGAGACGGGTCCATTGTTCCCGTATCGTTTCTAATTGAGACGTCAGTTCCCGTTTGGTAAAGGCGTCGCGATGGAACGATCCTTTTGTGTCGGCGGAGCGCCGTGAGGATGTTCATCATCATTTGCCTTTGGTCAAACAGCAGCGGCAGTGAGCCGCGTTTGTCACATGGTCACAGAACAGCGACGTGATGGACGGTCTAATCACCATCCTCAATGTGACGGTGGTACTTCAGAAAAGCAACTTAAAAGCACCAGTAGGGACGTGCGGCGTCAACGTAATTGGCGCTTTCGGATTGAGTCGGCTTAGTGTGGACGCAGTATGAGAGAGAGCCAGAAACACACACACACACGCACACACGCACACACACAGAGGGGGGAGAAAGAGACTAATAGAGATGATTTCTGTCCTCAGAGAGGAGCTAAAATGGTTCCCCTTTTAATCTCTTGTTCTCTCTCCATCTCCCCTAGACTTCTCCTCTCTGGGGAGGTTGTTACAAACCAACACCTGCATGTCCTTGTTTGGTACGGATCACACACACACACACACACACACACACACACACACACACACACACACACACACACACACACGCCCACACACAGAGTCTCCTTCACATTCTCCGACACTGGGTGAGAGGAACATTGCAACCCCGTTCTGTTTGTGCTCGCTGCTCTCGCACAGAGAGACCACTATGCCCCCCCCCACCCAGACCTCCCTCCCCGCACTGATCATTAGGACACAACCTCCAGGACGCTCCTGCAGCCAGCAGGGGGCAGCAAAGACCTTTCGCAAAGCCTTCACCTGCGGATCCCTGCTCTATATGCATGAAGAATGGACGTCTGGCTGGGTGAGCCGGGGCGATGGAGGTTATAGAGAAAAGAGAGAGAGAGAGAGAGAGATAGTGGGAGCGAGCGATACCAAGACCCCCTTGGCTGAGGCGCTATCGGGCCGTAAAAGACAGCAGACCTGAGCCGCACACATGTGCGTTCATTGTGTGTGTGTGTGTGTGTTTGGAGGGGGGGGGGGGGGTTAATAGCCTTCCTCATTGTACCTTTATCTAAATGCATGTCTGGGCTGCCTGTGTCCACGTCTATCTTGTGTGCTCAGGTGAACACTGTATGCGTGCTGAAAGGTTGCAGCTGTGCGCCTGCTGCTCTGCAAGTGTGTGTCTGTGTGTGCGTGAAGTGGCTTTGCATGCATTTGTTTTCAGAATACTTATGAAGCCAAAATAGGACCAAGGAAAGTCCAAGGTCAGGGCAGACATCTGCACCGTGTGCGTGTTGGTTGGTTCGCTGTATTCTGGGAATCACTGAGGGGAATGAAACAAGGTCTTCTTTTCAAAGTTGAGTTTTTGTTCCACTTCAAGCTGAGCCTCCGGTGTGGTGAGACGTTATATTAACAAAAAGGATGGCCAAGCATAAAAAAGCTATGAAAGAGTCCTTTTGCTTCATGCAGGACTCACTCATAGCCGTGATATTGTCAGAGTTACTATGTAAAGAGATTCGATGACGGCATGAATTGAGTCTAATTTGTTGCTGCATAAGAATCCCTGCGCACCGGCCCATAATTAGCTAACACGCATAGAGCCTTATATATATATACCCTAACTACCAAACCCCCCCAATTCACCTCATATTTAGAAAATATGGCTTCCTTTTTAGGAATGTTGTAAACTTGTTGGCAAATATGGTGCCATTAAGTGTTGACAAATGTATAAAAAACACAAAATGATACCGATACGACAGATGACAACTGACTGTCCCGACCCCTCCCTTGTGTTTGTGTACCTGCAGGAGGGCTGGGCCACGATACTTGGGAACTGACACTCGCCGTGGACGCAGTAGTTCTTGTAGTGATCCGGACAGGGGATGTACAGGCCGCGGGCCAGCTCGTTCCTCGTGTCCTCTTTCTCCTTGACTGCCAAACACACGCGCACACAACACGTCAACAATTCACTGCCTGCAAATGCTGTACGAGAACGATGCAGGTTTCAGAATGGGAGGATCCGCCACGCACTCACCTGTGTTGTCGGTCCGGGCGTCGATGTTGATGTCGCCTGGAAAGGTTGAAAACAAAAAAACAACAACATTTATATACGGATTTCATGTCCCCCCCAACCTCCGCCATGGCTCCGCCCCCCTCCGTTATGGGTCACACAATCCAACCGATGCCGGGTGGAGGAGCTCGACGTGGATCACGGCCTCGACAAAAAGGGTTGGCCCGGTGTGTGTACCTGTCTAGTTAATGTGTATGTATGTGAGATTCCCACTGAAAAAGTGAGAAAGTGTCACCAAAGTCTTTCACTGAACAAAGGGTGAGATGGAGCAGAGCCTGGTGGGAAAGATCAGAGCGAATAATGGTTTCTTTGCTCACCTTATTGACGGCACATTGACTTTCTCCTTCCACAATGGCTAGAGAAAATCTCCTAACAATTACTATCATTTTATTGCAATTGATTTCTTTCAGTGGTCCGTGAATTTATTCCCCTTAAACTGAGTCTGTGAAGTATTTCCCCGGGTTTATGATGCAATTAATTTGTTTTTTGTCCCGTATTTATTTTTGTTTTTTTTATTGGCTCTTGGAACGCCAGCGGAAGAATAACAATAGAAAGAAAGGATTGTTTCCCCTAGTTCAGAACCTCACATATTTCTCTCACTCTCCTTTAATATTCCCCAGCTTCACATCGATTAAACCATGAGGTCTTCATGATAGGACACCTCAAATTGTGAACAATTTCCATACACAAAATCGGAAGTAAAATGTAAAAGGTTGGTCTGTGATATGAGCATAAAGAAGCAATCTAAATATCGGTGAATCCTGGCTAACGCGCGGTCTACTCTTCCACAGGTCCAAATCCCTCCGTTTGTTGACATTTGCTCGGGTCTCTCCCTCTCTTTTCCTGATTGAAAGAGAACGCGCGGCGCCGTGATGGGATCGATCGGAGGGGCCCGACCCAAAGGGAGTAATATGGGGGAATACAGATTTCTCTTTGTGTTCCAGAGCTGGTTAGCCCTGATTACTTTACTCCCCATTACTCCCCAATAGCCTTCATCTTGGGCCTCACATCTGGATCAATTGTCCTGTTGGCCCTTGGCGGACGCAGAGCCAGTCAGATGCTCACAAATGCACCCGTAGACAATAAAGGCCGCTAACAATTGAGATTGGAGCGCCTCGCTGGACTGAGGCCGTCTCGTTCTGTCTTTCCACCGTACGACAACATGATCTTATAGTAAAACGAAGAATGAGTTAAAACGAAGGTAAAAGTGTTCCCTTTCCCTCAAATAAAATAAATACAAAAAAACATCCACGTGCAAAAGTATGTTTCTCAAGCGCCTTTGTCTTCTCCCCATGTGGATTAGTCGTATAACTCGGCGTAGGGATTTAACCACAGCGATTAATAAAATGACTTCATCCCTGGGACCGGTACAAACAAACACTGCACCCAAATAAAAGCTACTCTACACTGAAAAGAGGGGGGATTACCACTCAGTAAAATTATCAATATACATAGCAGCGAGGGCTATGTGGCATTTGGGGATTAGTTTTGCGCACTATTCCTGAAATGTGATTGAGTGGAAAGATCTGGAAGTCTGAAATGTGGTTGGAGATTTAGAATCACGCGGCGTGCATTGAGACGTGCCACATGTGTGTGTGTGTGTGTGTGTGTGTGTGTGAGTTTGAGGGTCTGACCTTGGCAGTGTCCCAGGTACTTGACCTCGATGCGTTCCTGCTTCTGACAGGACGCCTCCTTCACCTGGCAGGGGTTGTCATAGGAACGGCCGTCGGAGGCGCACACCGGGTTGAAGCTGATGTGGGAGCAGTCGATGTTGCAAACACACCTGCAGAGCGAGAAATCACATCAGTCCAGGCGTCCCGGGATTGTGTTTATGATCTACGTCAAGATCTAAAACAAATGGGATCTGCGGCGTCAATGAGAACGATAGCGTCTTTATTCTGAGAGACTTGCACGTGGTTTCGACTGCGAGGGACGCACACGCGTTGGGGGATTATAAAAACAAGACAGGGGGAAAAAAAAAACAGTGCAGCTTGCACTCAGTCAGGATGTCGGACCGTGCACAGTAATCCTGTTCAAACTGGGTTCTGGCACATTCAATCTGACACAATAGCAAATGGATTTAACTGCAGGGAGCGCTTGATTGACGGATGATGTATTCTTATAATGGCAGGAAGCAATTAATAACGACACAATTGTAGATAACAAAGCAGTACATTTTGGTGTTGCTGTAGAAATCGCGGGACAAAAAACAGCCACCGTTCTAAGGCTTTCAGATATGTAATTTATTTTAGATAACATTGAAAATAGCCTGAATGGGAAATAATAACTTATAAGCTAAAGCTATCAGTGCACACTGAAACCGCTCGGTGGAAATAAAGAAAACCATTGAACAATGCAGAGCAGCTTCCTGGTATTACCCCATCTCTTTTTAATGTCCTTCAACAAAGCCCAATCGGCTGAGAAATTCTAAAAAGCGATCTGGATGAAGATGAGGACGCTGAAACTTGGCTTGGAGGCCGAAGGCACGTCTGCTGTGTTATTGTCTCAGCTAGGCACTAAAGTGTGAACTACCTTTACCCTCAAATGGAGATTCTCTGTTATTACAAGCAAGTAATAACCACTGATAGCTGGATTAGCTTAATACGGCAATACACACTTTGCCCCCCCCCCCCTTTATCTCACCATTATGAAGTAAATGCTGATTGTACATTGTGCTGGCTAAAGAATAATGGCACCCTGGGCGTTGGGATTCTCTCCCTCTTAGCCTCGCTTTCACCGTGCGATTCCATCCGCCACTTGGTCGTGATCTACCGGCAAAATAAAGGCTGCATCTTTTACAAGACCCCCGGGCTGAGGCTCAAAGGGTCAAATTGGTGTTCTTACGGCTGTGACGGACACGTAGCTTCTAGCGGCGGCTGTGACGCTATCGGCATAGCAGCCCCAAAAGTGCACAAGGGGGAACAAAAGAAATACGAATCTCTGTTTGTAGAAGAAGTCTGCGGGCCAAATTAAAAGCGTGTGTCCCGGTTTCGTAAAAAATCCCGTTGGTTTGGGTTAAAATGTGTATGTCTGTAATGTTGTTTAAGCTAAGGGTGTGTATTTAAATGAATTAACGATCCCTTTGGACACGATCAGCACGCACACATCCACAACATCTCTTCAGATGGTCTTTTGCAACATATTTATCATAAATAATATGTTCAAAAAAATAAAATATACAGTCGTTATTCCAGACAGAGCTCATTCCCTCCAGAGTGAATGGCTCGTTCGTCTTTGGCATGTACTGTAGCTGCAGTAGCTGCTTACACCCGTAAGCTTTTTTCCTGCTATATTGGATCAGTTGCATCCTTCTATAGAGCCGATGTGTTGGAGTGTTTCTGTGGCGGACTAATGCATTCCTTTCTCACTGACTCTCGCGCTTACTTGATGCTTTCAGAGCTCGCAAATTAACCGGGCAATTTGCCGTCGCGCCACAATTTTCCGTGAAATTTAAGTGTGAGACATTCTGCATCGGTTTCTGTTTGTGTGTGTCCGTGTGTGCGACATCTTCCAAAAATAGCAGAGAGTCAGTTCCGACACTCGCGCGCACATGCACGTGCGTAGTGTGTGGCAATCCTGATCAGCAGAAGTTACACACAGATTGGCTTCCCGAGACGGCTGCTGCTGAGTAGCACTGAACGCTAGATTCTGTAATTATAAATCCGTCATTACTCTCCTGGTCTTTGCATTTTCCCCTGGTGCCCAACTCTCAGCAAAGTACAAGCATTCAGCTGTCTTACAGCTGCATTTGCATATGCGCCCACGTGGCCGCCCGCCAACACCTAACCGCGTGCCCACGCACACACGCACGCACACGCACGCACACACGCACGCACAGGAGCAGAAGCCTTCTCAATCAGCCGCGATGATTTGTAATGCTGACGTTGACGTTGAGTGAAACCGCGGGCAGCAAAGTGTGGCAGAGCTCAGCTACTGTTCTAAGGATGGATCAGCAAGGTGAGAAGGATGTAAAGAAGGACGCTGTCATGAATCCCTCCTGACACAACAGAGGAGCCGATGCCACTGCAAAGGAAGTGCACCTACAAAAACAAATTGCAATTCAATTGCAAATTGAAACAAAAACTATACTAATTGCTCAAGTTTTCGGTTCAAATTGCTATATTTGTATTTACAGAAGGGCAAGTACCGTCTGTGGAAACGTTTTTTCTTTCACTAGAAATGAATCTTGATTAAATTCACAATTACTGTTGTAAAAGTGCGAATCAGGGTTATGAGCATGAACAATCACAGTTCAAACCAAACGTCTCAAATCGTATAAAAAGTGATCTTTTCATATCTGCCTCTGAAGTGTCCGAGTGTCACCACCTAAAATGATACTTTTAGTATAGTGACCCGAGAAGATCAAATCTTATCCAATAATGTTTCAACTCTATTGTGGTAGAATTGGCTTGAACACACAGTAAATTGCACTGTTATAAATATAGCTAGTGTATATATCTATATAAGTATCTTATATCGGATCATTAACAGTGTATCTGGGAAGTGTCAGATCCTCTAGAGGGGGAAACACACGCTCCAACTTCAAATGTGAAAATAATCCACAGATCTTAATACTACGAGAAGGAAGTGAGATTTTTCTTTTTAGTTTGAATTAACCTTTAAAGTTGATTAAAAAAAATACAGACTAATTTTGCAATAGCCTCGCACCCTCAAGGGCCGATTAGAATGGCAATTAAAATGGCTGCTTTATCATTAAAAGTATCACATTGAGGATGGTTTCATCATGAAAGGACGCAGCGAGAAGAACTGTGATGAACTGAGGATCAGAAGCAAAGCGTCTTAAGAGCTTCCGACCCGTGGGGGGGTGGGGGGGGTGGTGTAAGTGGAGGGGGGGGCGTAGAGTATCAACCCGTCACACATGTACGTGTGTACGTTCAGCTCCCATCGTAGCCGAGCTTTCAGAGCCTCGGCCGTCCCGGGAGGCCGCTGATGCTCGGTGGCTGATGTCTGGGCTTCATACATTTTTAATGAGGCCTCTCACTTTCTCCACAATAGGCACTATACTAGCAGACTGCAGTGCGTCAACACATCCTAATGCCGCCCGCACACACACTCAAACACCTGCAAACAGACGGTGCCCCGACAGTCCTTTACATGCACGGGGGGCCGCGATCGCTTTGTGATAACTTCTTCTTCTTTTTCTCTCCCTCTCTCTCCAACACCAAGTCGTTGCTGCCACACATTCTGCTCAGAGGCACAAATTGGCCGAGAAGTGTTGTGGGTGTGTGAACGTGTGAACGTGTGTACTCTACGTATCAGAGTGTGTGTGTTCCACGAGAGCGGACCTCTCTTACCAGGATGTGTCGTATTGATCAGACTGTCTGCTGACTCCCAACTGAGAAAAGGGCACTTTACACACATTAGCGCACCACACACACACACACACACACACACACACACACACACACATCGTATGTTATTACTTTTCTTTTGATTTAACCTTTAATCTGACAGACAGTAATTTCATTTATTCTCAGCAGAAATCTGGTTTAAATCACAACAGCAATAACACACCGAGTTACAAAAGGACAGGAGTATCGTACAAAGACCAAAAAGAACACTAAATAAAAAGAAAATGGGTAAAACTGCGGAGTTCCCCAGTTCTCTAAAAAGTAGCTTAAAATGGGAATCAGTTCCTGCAGGTTGAAAGGAGAAGGCTGATGGGGCGATGTGGAGAGGGATGAAGCCGGGGAAAGTAGACTGTTGGGCAGCAGTCCAGAGTTGGATTCATAGATGAGGTCATCCCAGTGCAAACCTCCACGCATAGAGAGCGTACCGGTGTGTGAGGTTGTTTGCAACGTTTGATGAATTTCAGAGCTCCGTGACAGAAAAGCAGAGTGAGCAGAAGCCTTCACCTGCAAAACGTCCCCACGATGAAGAGGAGGCAGAACGGTGGCAGCAACAAGCCATTTCCTGCCATTGAGGGAGAAACAGGATTTTGTTCCTTAAAAAAGAGAAGTCCAATTTCCCATATAGATGAATGAAGTGTATTTCAAATATTTTAAAGGGAACTTTGTAAGGCACTTTAACATAGACACACAGCAACGCTTGTTATATACAAAACCTGAGCAGAAAACCCTATTGCAACTGGACATAGCATTGATTTTTATAATCCCTAGCCGAAAATTTCCCTGTAATGAGTGAAAGGCAAATGGACAGACAGAGAGAGAGAGAGAGAGAAAAAGACAGCAAATCAGCAATGTTTACACAGAAAGTAAAAGGGGGAAAGGGAGAAGAGAGGATATGTATATTTTCTAGGCTGGAACGATATGATGATAATCATCTAAGGCGACGTTGGTTGGAATGAAATGGTCCAGTATAACAAAAAGAGAACTATGTTGTCCGTCTCTTTCTCTTCCTTCGTTCACCCCATTATTGCAGCGTATAAAGTATATATATGTGTAAAGAAACAGCGTGCTAGGCTACGTATGACGCTATACCTAATTACCCGTGTAGGCTGAAATCCAGTAGGAAAGATGTCTGCTCTCTTTAGGAATAACAGGGCAAATGTACCTATTTGGCATTTTTGGGGTTTCAAATCAAACAAAAAAAAAGGAGAGCTGGAGATTGTGAACAAAGGGATGTGTTCATAAAGAAGATGGGAAACACCACAAACCTCTGATTCCATCCTAAAACCGGAGCAGCACATCGACCAATCACTCAATAACTTTGTGCTTCATTATGTTTTCTAAAGCAGTATATAAAGTCAGTAAGTCCTGCTGCTTCCCATTAACTACACAGACTCGGGCGGGCTGCCGCAGTCTATTTCATGTCGCCACAGTTTTATAATGAACCACACATATTTCCTTACACTTCTCAGCAGTTGCCCCCCCGTAATCGACTCCAAAGAGATGCAAATCATCTGCAAAAAGACTCATCATGAGTGTCGGGTTACAACACTAAACAATGAGTCACGGACAAAAGTCTCACAAAACAACCACAAAGAGATGCAAATCATCCGCAGAGAGACTAATAACGAGTGCAAGGAGTCGCAAAACAACTACAGAGAGACGCAAAACGACTGTGAAGAGTTGATAATTCAACACAAAATGAACACAAAGAAAAGGCCGGCTCATTCCACTGTGGGCGTCTTGTTCCTGTGTAGGAGGGACGTCGTGGGGTCACGCTGCGTGGACACGTCTGTCCCCGGTGCTCCATTGTCTCGTAATAATCTCTCCACCTCGGTAACGTGTGGACGGCTTCCGGTGGATGTTGTGTGTATGAATGTTGCCCTGTGACTTGTCTCCATTGAAATGTCCTTTTGCTCTTAGAATGGGCTTTAATGAGGTGGCAAGCTCCCTCTTTGAGCCCAAAACTGCTTTCTCGGGAAGGTTCTATCTAAACTCAGTGTTCACACATCAAGCGCCCCCCTAAACCCCCCCCCTCCAAGACTAGCTCACTATCTGCTCCTCCTCCGCCTTAATTCTATCAACGCTGATGGGTGCTATTGACGGATTTGAAAGCATGGCTTTTTGCGGGTGATTACGGTTTTACACCACAGATGGATCTAAATGGCTTTTTGCAACACTCTATTGATCTGCGAGGGGCGAGTGTGAGTCTCTGCCTCCAAAACGGGTCACTGAGAACCTTTCATTTTCCATATTTGTATCGAGGCGATGATGGCAAATAGAATCAAAGGAATGTCTGGACATCAAAAGCGGTTTTCTCCCGAACTGCTCGTTTCTAAGCACATTAAGAAAATAACCCTTCATCATAAATGTCGAGCGTGCGTCAACATGTCGTGTACTGATTGCACTGAAGAGCACACTGCTTGCGGCGTATTGCTCTGCTTTTGATGCCACCAGCAACGACATTTTGAAAGGTGATGCATTCATATCATAGCGGTTTTAATAGTGCTTTGAGTCTGGCCTAGTTAGTGATTATGCATCAAGAGAGCAGGAAGTAAGCGCGTGTCCCGAAGGGATGATGAGTCTAAAGCAGGCGGTGGCGTCATAGCTGTGAGCACAGCGGCGCGGTGTGCGTGTTCAGCCGCTTTGCCTGTGAATGAATGCTGAAACATCTCAAGGCCCGAAGACCATGTTTGCGCTGCACCTTCGCGCCGCTTCCCGCTGATAACATGCTTCATTCTGCTTCCTCCTCGTGACACGGTCAGCGCTACCAGCACCCAACAGAATACTTTATCCAAATAAATGTCACATAACTCTTGCAGCACGATCTTCAAAAATGAAATCATTTTGTGAGATGCAAGTCCTGAGTGGCAGCGAGCTGCGAGGGGTCAGGACAGCAAGAATTCATGGCATCATGTCCCTGAACGTTCATTCACTTGTTTGCAGGAAGTTGAATGAGAAGATTGATGCCATCTTCTCATTGAATGGTAGAAAAGAAAAAGTTTTCCCTAAACTGTCAAGACTCCTTTCAAACTGATTTCCTGGATCAATAAGCCAGAAGTTCCACTACCGCCTGCATGTCAGCAGCAGATGTTCCCGCCAAAGACGGACCCGTCGGTCTCTATTGAGTGGGGTAGGGCGAAATAACAATAATACGCTCCTAAACAAAACACAGTGAGCATGAATAAAACATCAGACTGAATGATGAAGTGAAAACAAAATGCCACTAGAGTCTGATTATTAGGCTACTTGCAGTGCTACATGTGCTAAAACACGTCCGCTAGGAATTATTGGGCATTTATGGATGAACTTGTCCATGAATGTCAAAATGCATTATGACAAACACACCACTTCACCGTGTCACGACTTTTGACTTTTCAGTCATACCTTCCCCACGTCGTTTGATTATCTGACAACCTTGTTTGATTCAAATCAGCTGCTGCCTGATTGGAACAATATTATTTGTATTTAAAATTTATTTAAAATGATTCTGATTCCAGCGGTCGGCTGCTGCTTGATGAAGACCTGCTTTTGCCAACATCTGTCACCAGAAACCTTCTTGTCAAAGTATGTTGGAGCTTTTGAAACATTAAAAAAGAAATTGTTAGCGTAGTAGATAGTTTGCGTTCTACAAGAAATGACGCTGAAATATTCATGTCTGTTTGTGTCAACTGCTTCTTTAATGGGTACATTGGTGATTTAGGCAGCTCCTCCTGTGTTATCCATTGTGTTATTCCAGAGGGGGGGGGGGGGCTTTGTTCCAGTTACGCTGCACGTGCTTACGGCTCCATTACATGTTTTTGTCTGCACAAATCATCGATATGGAGTACATTGTGCTGTCGTGACCTTACGAATTTAACCTCTGGGGATCAAGAAATTGCCGGGAAATCAATTCCTGTGTTTGAGTGGAAGGTTAAGGTGCTTTTGTGGAAGCGGCTGTCGTCGGGAGGACTCCAGCTGCTTGGTATTTGCAAAAAGGCTCAGAATGCATCATGAAACCACTCGCTGTCATTACAGTTTCTGCACACCGGAGGTACATTATCTTTCCATTGCATCAGGCAGGTTGAGAGAGTCACACTCAGAGGGCTCTTGTAATTTCAAGCGCTGCATCTGGGATTCCTCACACGGCCGGCCTTGATTTCGCTGATACCAGCCGACTGTTGCTCCGCACCAAATCAGCCACGTCGCTTCACTGAAGCTGTCGCATGCAAACTGTGTTAATTTCTGCTGCTAAAAAAACAGTTGCCCCCCCCCGTTGAGCCTTTTATCCCGCAAAAGGACGCTGGTCATGCTTTGCTCATGCGTGCCGGTAGCACGTCGCCCGCGTCCCAAGCAAATGCAACAAATGGTTGAATTCATGACAAACGTTATTTCTTTGCTGAACTTTCCTTGGGTGAGTCATTTCCGGCCTGACATTGGGAAGTCCTGTGAGGTTAGTAATTGGATTTCCAGAATGAGTGAAAATCTCCTTTTTCCCCGTGCCCTGCTTTAGTAATTGAGGTTAAATGAAATGGTCGACCTTCAGTGGGCGTCCAGCAGCGGACCTCTGCAGAGAGTCTCAGTGTTTAAACTCACATAAGTAGAGGGAGGATTTCTTCCCCAAAATAATAAAATTGGGTTCTAACCGTGTAGGTCATCTGGTGCGACATCGCTTTTTTTGGGGTGTGTACAAACTCACCAAACATCCTCGGCGTCCACGTCGCATTCGGCCCCGAACTGGCAGATATCGCAGGTAGACGTTTCCTTCTGCCCGGCCTCGGCCGAGCCCTCGCCACCTGGAACGGGACAGAAGGAGACAAAGGGAAAATGTTTCACACGTTTCACCCGAAGCGGCTGCGTCCACGGGGAGAAACCAACCCGGCACCAGGGCGCAACGTGACCGTGAGAAATCCGCCTCGTCCGACGCCGGTGCGTTTATATTCCGCCATATCCCGCCGTAATCCCACTGAAGCCATCTCCTTCATCCTTTCACCCCCCCCCCCCCCGTCTTCTCCCTCCGGACTCCACGCCTGACTCTCATCTATCACACCAATATCCCCACTGATCTTTTTTGGAGTCCCTCTTTTATTTCATCCCGCTGATTTCCTTGCGCTGGGAGTGCAAGGGCTCCTCCGGCGGCGAGGCCGGCACCGCCGTCGGGCTTATGGCGGCTTAGGGACCCTGCCGGCGCATATCTCGCCTCGTGAGCGGCCGAGGGGAAGAGACGAAGTGGAGACAGAGAGAGAGAGAGAGAGAGAGGGAGAGAAAAAAAGCAATCTGGCCAATCTCAAATTGCATTCTCCTTCCACAGAGGACTCCTCCGCTCTGGCTCTTCTTCTCTTTCCCCTTGGCCCCCATCTAGAAAATAGAAAAGCTCTATTTTTAAACTCTAGAGCCCAGGAGGACAACTTTGGAAAAGAAGACAAAGAGGTGACATTTGGCATCATTTCTGCATGTCATATATTTCATTTTCCTCCACACACACACACACACACACACACACACGCGTGTGCACAGACACCCGTGTTGCTCCTTTGTGTCGCCACTTCTCTTTCCCGCCTAGACTCGTTGGTTCTTGTGTTCCCTGCAACACGCTGGATGAAGAGCTCTTTTCGGGAGTCACAACCTCATTTTCTGCCGTTAAACTCAAGTTGGGTTTGACTCTTGTTTTAAGGTCAAAGTGACTTTGCTGTCTTTCACAATTGAATCCAGTTATCATGTGACTTCCTCTCCTCCACAACTCGACTCGGATGCTTCATTGGCTTCTTTTGCCGGGGGTCCAAACACACAATGCAGCCGACGAGATTGAAAAGTTCCCCTGCTGAGGATGTAAAACTCCTTTCATGCGGCTCGCCTTTGCTTTCAACGTTCTCTCCTTTTGAAGCGGTGTCTGAGGCTGCAGGTGTTGGACGGCAGCCATGGCGGCATCGCGTCCTCTGAGTACTGAACATTTCGCAGTCAGGTGGCCGGATGTGCGCTCGGTATTCACGGCTTTGGTTCGCTTTACCTTCAGGTCACAAGACTGGTGGGACCACGAGGTGTGAAGCTGCGTTGGCATGAGGCCCACCGGCGAAGCTCCAACGTCGAATTGTCTCAGTGTTTGCTGCAAAAACGCTTCCAGCCAATGCTCTCATATTTAATTCTGGAATCGAATCTATTCAAAGTTCCAATGGAGCTTCATTTGATTCCAAAATATTCTTTGAAAGGTTTCTTGATACGGTTGATAAGATAGATAAGAAGCATTAAAGTGACTAATGGCCTTCCAGCAGAGGAAATCATTATGGTTTTTAGTTTCATGGCGGTGACGAGGTTACAGACGTCATGTGCTGGCAGGAAGAGCAGCAGAGGTACGAGCAAAGCGGGCAGCAACACGAGTCCAGCCTGAATAGTCCAGCCTGAAAATTCACACTGCACCGTTTTTCAAGAAACACACACACACACACACACACACACACACACACACACACAAGCTTTGTAAACAGCTATAGTAACACTATAATTTAAAAAAAAAATAACCCTGATGATGTCAGAATCTCTAGGGTTATTTCCTCCGTGACACAACTACTGACGAGTACGTTGCCGTGTAAAGTCGCCCTTCCAAAGTCATTAATGCTCGCAATTATTACAAAGCAGTGTTTCCTAATTCATGGACCTTCCAGCTCTGTTGTCAGTGTTGTCCTCCGGTGTTCAATTGTGCGAGACAGTTCAATTATGCGGCCTGTTTTTTTTCTCTGTCTCACATCAGAGTTCAAGCTACTGTAAATGCAGCAACCGCAGCTAATTGAATCAGCACTTTGACCGCCGGCGGAAATGTGATTTCCCCCATTTTCACCCGTCGGGTATGTTGTGGGGCTGTCAAATGTTCACGTTCGCCTGTCTCTCTGGCTGCTGTGTCCTCAGCCAAACAATCAGCTCCACATGAAGGCTCGAGGGCACGCAAGCACCTACTCTCCTCTCCACGATTCTGAGAGCCACGCTGCTGCTGTTTCACCTACACGCAGGGCCCAAATGCCAACATCGCCTCCGCTCGCTCTCCTTTCTGTCCTCCAGCCGGGACATCTTCTATGCACACGCACTTCCCCGGGTCCCCGCACGCGGTCCCGCAGGCACAAATGACTAAAGGCGACTGGGGACCCGGCAGTGTTTTCCACTCCTCAAATCCCTGATAGAGTCTCCTGTAGCACTAACACAACATCGCCCCCCGTTTCTGCGTCTGCTAATCCCTGGAATCAGGAGACAAGGCCGGGTAATGACTGAACAGCTTAGCTCATCCACTGCTCCTGCGATCACCCCCCCCCCCCGCCCCCGCGAGCTCCTACATCACCTCGTATCGATCCGAGCTTGGGCCGGACTGGACGACGAGCCTCCTCCTGTGTGTCTCGTGTCCTAGCCTCACCTTCTTCTACGCCAAGTAGAAATGGTGGTTCATTCGCAAAAGGTGCCCCTGGAGGTTCCTCCTTGGAGGTAAAGGGCACATTTAATCCCCTCACTGGTGTCTGGAACTTGGCCGTGCTGTACATACCATTTGCATCCCATTAAAACATAACATAATTTAACAACGTGACTTTGGTATTTAAACCCCCAGTCTGCACTAACCCTGCACTCACCTTCCCTTCCCTACACTAGAAGAAGGTGTGTTTTTCTGCTTCTGTAAGTTGTAAAACAGAAGCAGGGACAGACCACCTGGTACTGTGACGTCACAAGCAATGACTGTATGTTTCCATCTTCCATTGTTGTTCGCTTTTATTCCCCCAAATAGCCAAGAAAAGAAAGCCTCAGAAAGCACAGATACAAAACCTACTGTAAGACCTCACCTTCGTCAGTCTGCTACGTGACCATCCCGCTATACGTTGGTTTGAATGGGCACGTCCCATCTACCGATTCATTTCTACGAGTCCATCATTGTCAAAATCAAAAAAAGCACTGGTGAAAAAAGCTCTCCCAATAATCTCAACGCTTTAATGGCTACAATGAGAATCAGACACTGTTGCCATGGTGATGCACCTGCTTTAACACCAAAATCACAACAGAACTTTTGCAAAGACAAACGGGGGACACATGGTGGCGTCCCTTCCGCCGGTAGCCTTGAATATTTCCTAAACAAAGGGGGGGCGGGGGGGGGTTGTTATTGTGCTGTGCTTTTGTTGTATTCCTGTAGTACATATTTGTCTACCTTTCTTCTTCTTCCTCGCACTCTTATCTTATCTTATCTTATCTTGCATTGGCTGTTACATCATTTACTGCGATAGTGCAGTTGAGCATACATTTTTCTTCTACATGAAGATAGTAGTGTATGCACAGACATGGAAGATGTCCTTCCAGCAGATACATCAGTGAAACAGACTTTTAGGGGAAGGAGACAGGAAGAAAGATCTTTCTTTAGAACAGTGATCCCCAAACTGGGTGAAGTGCAGCGGAACTACGCCTACACCGCGTTATGTGCATTAGATTAAAACAAATACAATTTCAAACAAGTTGAAAAGATAGGGCACCGTATCATGTGGCAGCACCCAGATCATAGAGATGAAAGAAAATAAATCAATCAAAAGATGTGACATGCACAGTGTTGCAACCACAGATGAATAGAGGGAGGGACACACAAGCACACAAAAAGAAAGGGAAAGAGGAAAGATAAGAGATAAATAAGGTTGTGATGCGCCAAGATGTACAGATTTGTGAGCGGTGTCAAGCGCAGATAAAATGATAGTGTGTTACAGCTGGAACGAGCCACGTGACCACCACCACAACAGCGAAAAAAAAGAGCTAAAAGCGAGAAAATATAACGAGGCATATCTGTCCTCGGGCTTTACAAGCACTAGCGCCGGCCAGGAGGAGCGATCCCAGTGTGCTGTGGGTCTTAAAATACTGGTGGCGGACAAGATGAAGCCCACTAAAGTGAAAAGACACTTGGAAACCCACCAACATTATCAGATAAAGCAAAGCATCGACAGAAAAAGTTTGGAAATCACTGCATTAGAACGAGCTTACGGAGAGAAAGAGAGACAATTTATTTTATTGGGCACACACACACACAGACACACACAATCACACCCAGACCCAGACAGGAGATTCAGGGCACTCTAGCATGCAGCTATCATACGGATGATGAATGAAGCCCACACACCCGTGGAAAGCAGAGCGAGACCACTACGACCTTGGTTGCAAACACACTGGGGAGAGGAGAAGAGCAGAGGGCTGGGAGGCAGACATGGGCTGATACATCCTACAAATACACGGCAGCGTGTGGTCATTGAAGCAGATTCAGGGCAGACCCCACATGGCTCGCTATTGTTACTGAACCTCCCGGCAGACGGCACAGGCTGGGTTCAGGCTAAACACTTTTACGGCGATTTATTCAAACTCCCTGCAGCGTTTTTACTGATTTGTTTGCTTCGTACGACATAAAAAGATGCATAAAATCTGTATTGTGAGTGGATAGGGATATTGCACACAGAGAATTGGTTTAGGACAATAAAACTGACAAAAATACTGGTTCAAAAACAAGACAAATACAGATTATTATAGTAATTTGATAAACAGTATAACAGGACAGTGAAACCCCCAGTAGACCGTGTGCTACAGCTTGTCTCCATTGATATACATGACATGGGAAAATATAAGAAACCCCTCTTATTGTATCAGAATACAATTAAACAGACTACAATTAGAAATCCAAAAATATTTTCAACAAAAAACATTACAGCCTTCATGAAGGTGTAGGCCTGTTGCGCTAAACAGAATTTGTTTTAGCTATATATACTGCACCTAACAATGTACATTTGTCTCACAGCTCCAG